CATCAAAGATTGGTGGTGGATTTTCATAATGGTTCACAAAGTTACGGTGTATTTGATAAACTTGATCCCGATTGTCTATTTAAAATTGGTTTTTTTTTTTTGCTTACCCTAAATTCTGAATTACACCTATATAATATGTTCATGCGTAATTATACATGTCTTGAATATTATACGGTGCATTTTGCAATTGAAGTCATAATTATCGTTTTCATGCTTATATTCATGCTAAGAGTGGGTTCTTCGTTTTTGGTTTTGATAAATTTCTTTGTTAAGCAGGTTTTCAATATTGGTTGATCGATTTTAGTACAACTCTTTCTCCTACGTCTCCGAGATAAGTAATCTCATGATTTATAATTGATCGGTTGGTGTTTAATAAAATCACGACATATTTACAATGTAGTTGACGGTGTTTTCATCGACTTATGCTTCAATATTCAATATAGCATATCGATTCATGCTTATAACATATTGATTTTCGTTTCATTAATGAATTGCTTCTGATGCTTTACGAGCCATTCTTTTAATTGTTTATAACATGGTATTGCTTTACCTTATAATATATCGACACATGTTTATTGCTGTATTATATGTATCAAGTAAAATCTAGATACATAAGAGCTTATCAGAAACCATAGGGTGGCTCTCATCTTAGGTATCTTCGTCTTCCTCTTTTGAGTACTAGATTTAAATGAGATTGCATTATTATGTTCACCACTTGAATGCTAGATTTCACATAGATTGCATTATGTTTAGTACATCATGAGTAAGACTCTATTGATTATGGAAGTAGTTTGCGGTAGAAGGCTGATCGAGCGGCGTGCATATAAGAATGAAGAAGTTCTTGTGGATTGGATCTTAGAGCTTTGGGAAAAAGGGAAGATCTTCGATGCAGCTGAGGAAAGTATCCGTCAAGAAGAAAACAGGGGAGAAGTTAAGCTTGTTTTAGAGTTAGGTGTGTTGTGTTCCCATCAAGCTGAATCGATTAGACCGGATATCTTTGGCCATGCGGATCTTGAATGGAGTTTTGCAGTTTCCGTATGAGAGATTGAGACGATGACCTGAAATATCAGTGGACGTGCTACTTGATAATTGATATGAGTTCAAGAGCTACATTGCCGTTTACAAATTTTTTCATCTCCCATGGAGGATGAGGATGAGACCTGAAAAGAAAAATCTTAAACGAAGAAGAATTGATCATTTATATTTATCCTAGGGATTTAACAACTTGCTTTGTTTTCGTCCATATTGATAAATAAAGAAGTAGGGTTTCTTATTCGCCTCCAACTACTCTTGATGACTATATAAAATCAGTAAAGCTTTCGACTATCAGATTCATCTCCTACTTGGATTTCAGTTTCTTCATCTTCTAGGGGTTTAGGGTTTTACTTGTGTCAGGTTTTTTTATTTCTTGCTTCTCAAGTTTCAGGGTTGGCAATAAGAAACCATCAGAAACAATATGGTTGTTAGGATTGTAAATTGTCTCTCGACTGGGAATATGGTTGTTAGGACTGTAAATTAGCATTAAATAGACTGAGAATGTTTCTGCTGCGTCGAAGCAGGATTAGTGATTAGGTTCAGCACTTTATTAGCTTCCCAAAGCAGGATTATTGAATAGATCTTTTGTATTCAGGGATTAAATATGACAATCATTTTCAAGGCGATAAAGCCTGTAAACAGTTTGTTTGGGTCACAATCAAAGCATTCTGCATTTCTGCTGAGAGTGGGTTCATATTTATAATTAAAAAAAAAAAAAGTGGGTTCATATATGAAAATGAGTAATATATTCAATGCTCGAATTTCACAGTGAAAGGTTAGTTTTTTTTTGTAAAATCTATGTATTGAACAAATATTTGTTTGTCCAACACAATCTATTTATTAATTCCATCGATTTTTTTAATGGAAGTGCAAACATAATCGAGTTAAAAAAATCAAGCCACAAATAATTTGTGATTTTCTTTTAGAATATATAGTTTAGTAAGATTCAATAAACTTAAAATATGCATGTTCGCTCTTACTTACCTATGTTTAAAACATAAGTTAACGAAATTATTATATATGAATGTGTAAGTTAATATAACAAAACATAATGTTACGACTTTTATTTATAAAATAAAAAAATAATAGGGTCAATTTGTAAAT